GATTTGACTTAATAAGGTAGGATTTGGACACCGAAAGTGACTGCGCTGAGCGTTAGGATGATGCCTTTTTGTATGGGTGTATGCTCCTGTGGGCGCAACCGCAGTCAAACCCGTCGTCACGATTTTATAAACGACCTGTACCTTGACAGCCGACTCTTTAAAAAATGTTATATCCCTCAGGCAGAAATCAGAATTTCAAATTCAATGTGCTGCTATGGCTAGACGTACATGTTTGCTTCGCTTTTACTTTCTGTTGACAAATTCCAGAACGGTCATGTTGTCCGTCTGGAGTGGACCCGCGTCGGTTATCCGTCGCTGCCACCCACGGCAAACTACACCGTCTACAACGGCACGACTATCCTTTACATAAGAGGAGTCACAGAAGAGGATGAGGGCCAATACAGATGCATGGCCACCACGATCAACTCTATTGCAACCGACGACGCGACATTAACAATCGGTGTACCTTCCGGCAGTCAGTCTTTTTTGTTTACTAACACATTTTGAGTTTGCTTCGCTTCAAAGCTCTAACAAACAGCCGCTTCTTGCTTCCTTTAACAAAGTGTGCAGAATGCAATGAGTTTGTGTTTAAATATACGGCAGACAAAAGAGTGTAGCCAAATGTAGTAATTTTACCAGAGCCTTTACAAAAGAGCATATTTTTTTCAGGAAAGGGAGTTGCAAAATGTAAATACAAATTCGCACCAAGGATTGAAAAGATTAAATGTCAGTAATTTTTACACACTTCATAGCGCAAGCAACACATCTTAGAAACTTTTTTGTTTTTTAGTGTTTCCAAAACTACTTGTTTCAAGCCCATTTGCTTTTTTGAACAAATTCAAATCACGGTTACCCTAATACAAACTGAGAAGCCGAAGTACAAAGCCAATAGCTGTGTGATATGTGTTCTTTAAGGCCTAAGGCATACCTCACGCGATCTCAGTCGCGGCGCGATTTGACAACACTCCAATTGTTCATAACTCGTCGTAAGGGGTTTCTGAATC